TCCAAAACAAAACCCTGGTGTGCGGGGGGGGGGGGCACACTAGCGCCCCCCCCCCCCCAGCAGACCAGGGACACGGGGAGCAAAGCCGCAGTGGCGGGGTGCCTCGCCTCTGAGGCTTTGCTCTGGCGCGGGACCCGCTTTGCTCGCGGTGCCCCTGGTCTGCTGGAGACGGTCCCCAGCAGACCAGGGGCACCGCGAGCAAACCCGCCGGGGCTGCGGCTTTGCTCCCGATGCCCCTGGTCTGCTGGGGACGGTCCCCAGCAGACCAGGGGCACTGGGAGCAGCTTTTCTCGCCCCGGAGGTCGAGGTGGCGGACGCTGCCTGCGAGCTCCGGGGCAAGAAAGCCCCATTCGTAAGTGCAGATCCGACATAAGTCGGATCCGCGTAAGTCGGGGACTGCCTGTACTTTGTTTTATCATGAATATTCTTCCAAATAATACAGCTGCCTGCATTCATGTGCCTGCATGTAGTATAGTTTGTAGAATCCATTGTATTTTAAAAGAAAATGAAAAATCATAGAAGTAGTGCTGGGGCAATGTATTGTTTCCCGCTGAACATGTGCAAATGGCTTTTAGAAGACACTATCCAAATAAATGTTCACTGTGGTTGTAATTTCCTTTTGGAGAAGCAAAGAAAACAGGATTATTGATTTAAATCAAGAATACAAATGATTTCCTTTACACAAAGCTGCCAAATGCTTGAAGTTATTGATTTTTGTTCCCTCTCCTCACTTCTGCTCCCAAGCACTTCTTGTTCTGTTATGTGCTTCAGCAGTTTGATAAACAAAATTCACTAAATTAAAAGAAAACTTGTAGTAAATCCTTGTAGAAAAGCATCTGCATTAAAATTAAAGGGGGTAAAATGTATGAATCTTTTAAAAAAATCATTTTTAAACTCGAGTTTATGTAGCCAAGCAAACCTTGAAAGGACTGAAAAGTACCCTTGCCGTAAGAAGCCATAAAAGAAAACAGAGAAGAGAGGCTCAGAATTTCAAAGCAACAGGAAGAAATTATCACAGAACAGCGATTAAAACCTAAAAAGATGTGAAAGTTGCAGTTATTTCTTTATTTTTTGTTGGCAGGAGACTTGCACCGTTGCTTACATTTTTGCAGTAAGAGCTGAGCACAGCTGAGGCCTGCCCTTGGAACATGTCATTTTGAAGATAGCACGTAAGGTATTAATAAATGTAGAACAATAGTTGCTGTCAAGTTGGTTACAAGGCACTAGCTCACTGAGGGGGGCCTGACAATGTCAAAAGCCATTAGAGAAGAGCCTGAGACTATTTTATATGCTTCAGCTGAACCCAAAAAAATGTCTTAAAGCCTATTCCAAGGCTTCAATTCATCTGTCTACTCTAGAGAGTGGTTTTTTTAATTTTGAAGAAGCTGGCAAACAATTGCTTTCCTCCTCCCCACCCCTTTTCTTTTGTCAACTGCAAAAACTCAGTAAGGAAACAAGACACAATGGAATAAATTCTGCTGTGAAATAAATACACGCAATGCTACTGGAATCAATTGAGGCTTCAGTGAAGTTGCTCCTATTTACACTGTCCGAATATGGCCTACTGTTTCTCATATCCCTAAAGCAAAGTTGCCCAGGGGTTCGAGCGCTGGATTGGGACTGAGGAGACTTGGTTTCTCTTCCTGGCTCTGCCACTGGGTGACCATGGGCGTGTCACCAATCTGTGCCTCAGGTTCCCCATCTGTAAAATGGGGCTCATGATACTGATATTCTTTGTAAAGAGCTATGAAATCTACAGATTAAAAAGTTCTGTACAAGAACTAGATTAAATTATTAGTGATGAATCACTTGGAAGAGATTGGTTTTTCTGGTTCTGAGTAAACACATTCAGCTTCTAAACTGACTTAAAAGAAGTTGTGACGGTTTCCCTCCACCTCTGCCTTTGTGTCTGTCTACAGAGGAGTACAATTAGGAAAGTTAGTCACTGATTAGCAATGAAATGTTAACAGGCTTGTCAGTTCTTTAATAAGCACAAACTACAGCTACTATAATTATTCTTCTCCTTTAATAATATACCCCAGTACCATTTAATTTTTATTTTCAAGG